AAGTTAGACGTAGTCGAGCGGTTCCTAATAAAACCGTGCTGTTCATCAACAAGAATAGTCTTAAAAGCCGCGTAGACATCTGTATAAACTATACGTTCTAGAACTTTAGAAAAGAGGCAGATTTTAGAAATGGGACGGTAGTTTTCAACATTTGATTTATCCCCTTTTTTGAAAACGGGGGTGACGAAGGCAGACTTCCAGATCTTTGGAACTCTACCTTCAGAAAGAGACCGCTTGAATAGGATAGTTATGGGTTCAGCAAGACTTTCAGCACAATTAACAATGAACAACGGAGGTATTAGATCTGGTCCACCTGATTTGGTAAGGTCCAAGGACTTCAGCAGCTTCAAGACACGTGCGTGGTTTAAGTCGACTGTGCTGACAGACATAGCAGTATTACTACATCGCTCACCAGAAGTACTCTCACCAACAGCCGTTGTTGTTTCGGGTTCTAAAAATATGGACTGGAAATAGCTAGCGAAAAGGTCGCTAATATCTTGTCCTGTGTTTACAGAGGCCTCGTGGTAGTACATCTCACTAGGGAATGACCCAGCCCTCCGCTTGCTTTTGACAAACGTCCAGAAAGCTTTTGGATTTTTTATAATTGAAGCCTCAATGTTAGTCATATATTTTTCATAACATGTGTTTTCCATCTCAATAATTCTACTACGCAATAATGAAAAAGAATGATAATCAGATGTATTATTGTATTTCTTGTATTTCTTATGATATTTATGTTTTTCTCTAATCATTTTTACTAGTGCTGGGGTATACCAAGTAGGATAAGAGGATTGTTTTACTGATTTTACAGGTACGTGTACATCCCGAAGCTCATACAGTTTATTATAAAATTTAGTGACCGCATCTTCTAAGCTTATTGACGATAGAAACTGAGACCAGTTAATTAGATCAAGTTCAGATTTTATAGCGTCGTAATTACCCTTTGAGAAAATGTAACATTGCTTAGGTTTATCGACAAGTGTATGAATTTCGACAAAATTTGTCAAAACAATTAAAGGCTTGTGATGAAGATCAAGAGGCATAGCAAGAGGATCCATACTTTCCGAGACAGTCACAGTGTCGTTACAAAATACAAGGTCGAGTAGCCTACAGTTGATATTCCGTTCACCATTATACTGTGACATATTGAAAGTTTGCAATGTATCAAAGAAATGAGTACAATGCTGAGAAGAAATATTTTGAGGTATTAACTCCCCATTAGTTGCCATGTCCCCATTACACCACTCGACATCATTTCCGAAGTTAAAATCACCCACTAGCAAGAACTTGTCCAGTGGATGGGTCAGAATTAAGTTGTTAAAACTATCCGTGAAATTACTTAACTGGGTACTGTATGAATTACCTAGATTCTCCTTGCATAAATAAAGTGCACAAATATGCAAATTGTAACTAACCTGTGGTTTTGACTTTTTAAGGATTAAGGATAGCCAAATATCCTCCGCAGAACTACGCCAATCCAACCTCTCAACTATTGTAAGTTCTCGTTTAACAGCTATCAGAACACCTCCACCACGTAACTGACCGGTTCGGGAGTAATCACGATCACGTCTCCAAACAAGATAACGTCCGTCGAATAATTCACTACTGTTAAAACCGTCATCTAACCAAGTTTCCGTAAATATAATTATATCATAGGAACTGAGACACACTCCGCGAAACACTATGTTTGTTTTCGTACGCAAACCACGCACATTCTGATAATAGATTTTAAGCGTAGCTATAATTACCCTTAACTACTACTAAATAACATAGGAATTGATAAAGATTAGTAACGAATAGATTAAAAATTAATAATAAAATCAAGTGAAGGTTATTATTGCAACTATTATAATGCTTAAGACGGGTAGTGGTCAAGTAAACTAATAGACACAGCAATACACAGTGATCAGTGAAAATAACATTATAAAAACAGCTGTTATAAAGGGAAACGATTAGCGACGACCCGCACAGAGATAAGAGCACCTCGGAGTAAAACGTCATAGTTGGGGACGGTCCACGACGCAAAATGTACTTTATATCATGGTACATAAAATTTAAATTCGCACACCAAGAAGCGACACTGCAATAATTATATTTTATTGACTTACCTGAGCACACTTTACAACGACACAAAACCAATAGGAATACGCAACTAGCACACATAAGACTGAGATTCTCAAAGATCTTTGTTGCGCACATATTTAACACAAACTTAAAATATAATGTTGGGATATCGGTTTTTATAAATAATAACTGTGAATAATTTAAGTGATTTTTTGTAGATCTTTCTCCGACTTGATGACCAGTATTGGCGAAGTATCGTTTTTTCTTATGTGTATCTTCGCGTGTTTGACCCAAACGTATTTTAAATCCATTTCTGCCGAAGTTTTCTTTGTCTTAGTCAGCAGCATTTTATTTCTTATTGTTAGGTGATCATTTATAAAGATTTTATGGTTGCCAATTAATCCAATTGTAGCTGGCGTCAAAGGTGAGGTCTTTAGTTCGTACCTAGAAGCTGCTATAAAATCTTCTTTTACGTAACGTTGGCAAAAACGGACTATGATAGGTTTTATACGGTCTTTTTCACTGGTAGGCACTCGAGTGATGAAGTTAATTTGATTTTTCGAGACTGGATAGTTGATTTTTGCACCAATTTTGGCTATTATTTCAAATAAGTTCTCGTTGCTTGTTTGAGGCACTCCCTTAACTTCGATATTATTCATACGCGACCACTGATCTCTATTGCTGTTGTCGTCTTCTAATTTATCCAATCGGGCTTGCAGCTGTTCCACCTGGTCCTGGACCCTCTCAACCCTCACGATACGCAGCTCCATGTCATTTAACTTCCCGGTGACCTCTTTCATGACCTCGCTGTATTGATTTGCCATGGCTGTTTTGAACTCAGCAAACTCATTCCTCAATGCGATGATGTCTTCCTTCATATTTTCCAATGTGGCAAATTTTAACGCCAACGCACGGATTTCCTGCAGAACCATAGACTGGGTGTCCGGCACAGGTGTAGGCGACGATATTGGTGTAACGGGTTGAGAAGCATTGCCAGACATTAGATTAGTGGCACTTATCTTACAACTACTGCAACGCCACGTAAGCCTTCTGTCACCAAGTTTCCGATACCCGGCCTCTGTTATTCCTGCACAGCGAAAGTGTAATTCCTGATTGCAGACTGTGCAGTGAGATTTTGGCCGATTATTTAACATTCCGAGGTTAAACTCTTAATTTCGTAGGTTAGGATGACGATGTTTTTATCATCGTAACTAACAATTTTTATTTGTCCTGTGTTACAGGTATCTATTATGGGCATGGCATCAGCTAGGTCTACAGTTTTGGTTGATTCATTCCGCTACATACCACCTGGTACCAATGAAAGTTTATGCCAAATTTATGAATATCCACCGACAACACCTCAACCGGTGACTACAACTGAACCAACAACTACTCCTGAATCTACAACTACTCCAGAACCTACAACTACTCCGGTACCTACAACTACTCCAGAACCAACAACTACTTCGGAACCTACAACTACTCCTGAACCTACAACTACTCCGGATCCTACAACGACTCCGCGACCTATAACTACTCCGGAACCTACAACTACTCCGGAACCTACAACTACTTCGGAACCTACAACTACTCCGGAATCTACAACTACTCCGGTACCTACAACTACTCCAGAACCAATAACTACTTCGGAACCTACAACTACTCCTGAACCTACAACTACTCCGGATCCTACAACGACTCCGCGACCTATAACTACTCCGGAACCTACAACTACTCCGGAACCTACAACTATTTCGGAACCTACAACTACTCCGGAACCTATAACTACTCCTGAACCTACAACTACTTCGGAACCAACAACTACTCCAGAATCAACAACTACTCCAGATCCTACAACGACTCCGCGACCTACAACTGCTTCGGAACCTACAACTACTTCAGAACCTACAACTACTCCTGAACCTACAATTACTTCGGAACCTACAACTACTCCTGAACCTACAATTACTTCGAAACCTACAACTACTTCAGAACCTACAACTACTCCTGAACCTACAATTAATTCGGAACCTACAACTACTTCAGAACCTACAACTACTCCTGAACCTACAATTACTCCGGAATCCACAACTACTCTAAAACCAACAACTATTTCTGAACCAGAAACTACTGCAAAACTAACCACAACACCGCGGCCAACTACCATAATCGAACCAACAGTAACTAGCCCGGAGTCTACGACTGCAAGTGCTTGTGTTAGACCACCTATTGATGCGGGAGATAATACATCGTTTTGGAACAAAATAATCATTACGTTTAATAATAATATAAATATTAATAATTATTCACATTACAAATAATTGATATAAAATTTGAAAGTACTTATTAGTTTTAACATGTGTTATGTTTTACGAATTCGGACGAAAAGGGCTGTATTACTTCTATTAGACGCGGAGTTTTTATACCTCTAAAATAACTCCAATAATATTTTTGAAATATAGAATAACAGAATACATTAGAAATTGTTTTTATCTATACCGAGTATTATAAAAATAAAGACTTTGACTGCACGATTGGTGCGGTAGCTGGGCAACCGGCTGCCGTGCAACGAGTTGCGGGTTCGATTCCCGCACAGAACAACACATTGTGTGATCCACAAATTGTTGTTTCGGGTCTGGGTGCTATGTGTATGTGAAATTGTATGTTTGTAAACGCACCCACGACACAGGAGATAATCCTAGTGTGGGGCAACGTTTAAAAATAATAATAATAATAAGCACGGGCCTGGGGACGGCGAGCATGGGTAGCTCACCGCCCATCTAGAACCAGACCCGAGCGTGCGACATGTCGCGTTCTATGCGCGCCCCAAAGAGCTATCAGACCACTACAGATGGAGTTCAATAGGGGTGATGCCGATACGAAGCCGCGGAGAACTTAACGGGTTACCAGGGCTCCGGCTCGAAGTGTAGGAGGAAGAACGGCCACCCCGTTCGTTTTTAATCAGTAAGAGTCTCAAATTGCGTCCAGCTTTACCCAGGCGTGAGAAGTCATTCGATGATTTTCACCCATTAAAACCACCCATTAAATTGTTGACGTTGATTCGAAAAGTATCCAGCAACTCTTACGCAGTCTCATTATCACTCGGTTTCCATTCGTCGTCGTATGTTTTATAGCTTCAAACTATGGTCGATAAATGGACTATCAAACATTAAAAGATGGTTTTCAATTCGAAGCACTAGTTTTGGAAGTCAGGGTGTTTGAAGCAACAAATTCTTCACTCTTTAGTTTTATAATATTGAATACAGAAAATAATTGATTCATCAATCATCAACAGCCTATAAGTAGCTGCTGACCAAAGGCCTCTTATTACATGGACAAGGTTTGAGCATTAATCCACGCTTGCTCAATGCGGATTGGCGATTTTAAACTTATAATAAGAAATTATAAAGTCCAGTTTCCTCACGATGTTTTCCTTCACCGTTTGTCAGTGGTGTCGAAATAACCTTAGAAAGTACATATAACAACATATA